ACTGTCACGTTCTGCCCCTGCCTTCCTGACTGTGTCTCTCTCCTGCCCTGATTAGCCCTTATTGTTCTCACCTGCCCCTCGTTAACCTGCCCATGTGTTCCTGATTTCCCTGTGTATTCATACCTCCCTCCTTGTACCAGTCTTTGTCGGATCATTGTATGTGCATGTGCTTGTTTTGTCCTGTTGCTCCCGTTCCGCCATTAAAACCATTTTTATATTTCATCCGTGCCTGCTCTCCTGCCTCCTGAACTCTCCACCACACATGGTCTACCATCTCCACCCCGCCCAACATGACATTACCTGTCACTACATCAGTGATAATATGCAGTTGTGTACATCTTTGTTGGGAGTCAAACACTTTCCACAAAGTCACACTGCTGACAATCTGGCCCAAGTCAAAAGGGACATGATGGATGATTGGGCCATAACAAACAAGGAAAGGTGTCTTGTGACCGACACAGCACCAAACATGATAGCAGCAACACAAACTCTTCAAATTCGACATTCAATCTGCGTTGCACACAAAATAAATTTAATAGTCAAAAAATCCTGAACTTTCCTCCATAAGACACAAATCTAGGCAAATCGTATCATTCTTCAGATCCAGCACCACAGCAAAAGAGAAGCTAGCTCAAGTGCAGCAACAGATGGGACGGCCCACCTTAAAACTAGTCACTGAGGTACCAACACGTTGGAACAGCACATATCAGATGCTGTCACGGCTACATGATGAGAAGCAGTGTGGGTATCTCTTGCCTCTCTCCAAACAGATTTAACTCCACTCACAGCTGATGAGCTCAACATCTTAAGGGAAGCACTTCTTGTGCTGGCCCCTTTCCATCAGGCCACAGTGGAGTTGTCTGAGGAGAGGAGAGTTTCAGGATCAAAGGTCATCCCGATGATGAAAATGCTAAATTGTGCACTTGAGCGTAACTCTTTACATCTAAACACACAAGCAGCCACACATCTCCATGACCAACTTAGACGTCGCGTCACAGACACTGCTTCTAACCTGGAGTCATTAAGTGTGTTGACCCTATCAACACTTTTAGACCCCAGATTTAAAACACTCGGATTTCGTAGTTCCTACAAGTGTAGTGAGGCTATCAGTCGCCTGAAAATGGAGTGTGCTGCAGTAATTGGTCACACAACATCTGAGCCACAGCCTGGACCTTCATCAGAGCAGTTACCCACTTCAGGCAAGTTGTTCAGTATTATCAGCTTATTTTCACATTTGTTTTGTTGCTAATGTGTATTAATACAGAGTAGAAGACAAAAACTAAAACTTCTATGTATTTTTTATTATTTCAGATAATCTGTGGCAGCAGCTTGATCAACAGGTTGGCAGACAAACCACCAAAGCAACAGCTGACTCGATCATTGAGGTCCAGCGCTACTTAGCAGAGGGAAACATTTCAAGACAAGAAAATCCATTAACATACTGGGGGAACCGGAAGACATCCTACCGAAACCTTTTCCACCTGGCTTTACAGGTTTTGTGTACCCCAGCTTCTTCTGTGCCTTGTGAATGCGTGTTTTCAAAAGCTGGTGAAATAGCGTCCAAAAAACGCAATAGACTAAATGCCAGAACATTGGATAAACTTATTTTTTTGAATAAAAATTTATTTAAAAAGAACAACTCAGTCAATGACACTGAAATGGGTAATATCACATTCACAACACGGTCACTTTAATTGTCACTTGGTATCATTCATAGAATATTTTGAGGTGTATATATTTTAAATTTAGAAGTTTAAAGTAATACCATATGAAGTAGGCCTACATTAGCTTACAGTGTATACAAGTATGATTAGGTCATTGAATCCGTGTCGTGAGTCTCCAGTGTGTTGCCTGCAAAGATATTTAAAGTCCAGTAGGTGTGATTATAGAGCACAACAGCAGCACTGTGTCGACACAGTATCAATACTACTTGGGGAATGTGCTGAAACGCTTCATGAGGCTTCATCTACCCATCACTAGGAGAAGAGAATAGCATAAACTCCAGAAGAGTCTATACTACCCTGCACTTTATCACTGAACTGTGGGCTGGGAGCAGCTTTTAACAGCTGCCAAGTGATCATCAATGATTGGAAACAGCTGGGCACCGGGAGACAGGCAGGCAGAAGCCACTGAGGCCATCTTGTGGCCGAAAAGGGGCAAGGCACGTAACAAGCACATAAAGGGGTACGTTGGGAATTACCCCAGTGAAAAAGAGGGTAGCCTCCCTCCGCCTATGTGTGGCGGGAACAATTCCTGCTTTCGCACCAAACTACATTTCAAACTACTCACCCTTTTTGGAGTCCTTGGAAGGGGTGTTGGAGAGCGTTCCTAATCATTGTAGTTAAAACAGACCATGATTGTAAATAACTTGTAAAGTTAGGAAATCATTTATGAGACCAAATAAGATTGTTTTATTAAAGTATAAAGAGTCACTGTTGTGAGGAAACCTTGTGCTTCACAGCTCCATGTCAACATGGGAGGTTATTTTGATGAAGTCTGCAGATAGTACTGCTAGAGAAGATAAACAGGAGACAGCTTTGGTGTGAAGGAGCACACAGCATTTGTGGCAGAAGAAACCGGCTGGACACTTAATGTGTGATGACCTCTGCCCACTGGTAGGGCAGATTGTTGACAAATGTCATGGCCGTCTCCTACGTTACACCGCCGCTGTGTCAACACCCCACGGAGCCTAGAGCCGAGTCGACAATAGCGGATCTTTCACCGTGGTGGAACAGCGAACCCCGATAGCCTCCATTCTCCTTGGTCAGATCTTTAGCTCTAGTTTTTTTACCCAGCAGCCACACACACATTATATTTCAACCCGTCTTAGACCAAGCGGTGCTATGGTAAACACACAGAATTTGCCCCCATTCAACCAGCACGCTATGAGCGAGAAAAATGTGGTTGAGCGACTCAAAACTGAAGCTGCGCCAACTAAAAGAGCTGTGGTGTTTCTGTGGCCTCCCTCAGAGACCCACAAGTGATTAACATGACTACAGCCTCTCCTCGGAGCTGGCCCGGCTGCCCTGGGAAACGGGACCAGCTCTAGCAGCTGTTCCCGGGCAGGAGACAGGAGAAGCTGGGCACCCGCTCAAGTCTCTTATGCAGCCCCACTAACGTGTTTGAGCAAACAGTTAAGTGACACAGCATTCACCCCACTCAAGCAGCAAAAAAAAGGAACAGAAATATAATTTTACTCTCTGAGAAAGAGAAGCAGAACTGCTCGGATGATCTGTTAGAACAGTCAATAACCACAGCTTGCCCTCTGTGTCCAAATAATTCCACGATTAACATCCAAACACGAGCACACAGACAAAACTAAAGTTCAGAGACTCGAAATGGCAGAATATTTGAAGGTGAGGCTGAGGCCTTTCCCCGGAGCTAGCTGTAAAGCTCATTAATTATTAAGATTTTTATGCATTAAATTTCACCTGAACAGAAGAGTTACAAAAACATTCACTCCCCCATGAATGCAAACTGGATCTATTAAACCTCAACATGTTTAATTCTGCTGTGAAACTGGCATTTTTAACATGGGAGTCAATGAGGATTTGCTCACTTTTGCTACCTACCCCTAGTGGATGAGAGTGGAACTGCATTTGTTGCCACAGGTGTTGGCTTCAATTTCATTGCAGCTTATGGGGGCTTGGCGTGCACGCTACCAGGCACGGCTTTCGACTCTTTCAGGAAGGGCAGGGAAGTGAGCGACAGCATTTCAAATTTTAAAATCTCTCCCTGATGACGTCACCTTATTATGCACTTTGAGAATAGGAAAAAATTTCAGGTACATTCACAAATTCAGAAGGCTATTATTGTTGTTTATGCTGTTTATGTGCTTAGCAGACGCTTTTACCCAAAGCGATTTACAATTTATATTTCATTTTTTCTTTTAACCTAATGGGCATGTTGTGATCTGTGGGGGAAACCGGAGTATCCGGAGAAAACCCACACATGCATGGGGAGAACACGCAACTCCACGCAGAAAGGCGAGTTTTTGAACCTGCGACCTTCGTGCTGCGAGGCAACAGTGCTAACCACTGCGCCACCATGCAGCCCTGCTTTTGGGTTGGGTAAATATAGAAAATTGAGTTTCCAAGAAGAAACAGCAAAAAGGACACAAACAAATGTGCATCCGGGCATCACGCAGGTACGTAGCACTGATGTTAGCGGGAAAAGGGAAAATGCCAGCAACAGTTAAGCTGAGGAGTTGTACGCTCTTACTGCAGAGGGGAAGTTTGAACTATGGTAGCATTCTGTTTTACATCCTGGGTGTTTCATAAAAGAGCTGTCCATGGCCTCCACAGTGGAATACAGTTGGTGGGAGTGGTTTTCCAAGATGGAGGTCAGCTTCACCAAAATCATCTTTTCACACTTCCTCACCAGAATCCAGCGGGCAGCCCAGAAACGAGCTAGCTCTCTTAACTAGCTTGTTCAGTCTCATCCAGTCTCGGTCAGAGCTGTCTGCGCCCCAGTAGACACAGCAGAGTGGACAGCAGGGCCAGCAACAGGCAGGCAGTCATAACTTTTGGCTGACACTATGCTTGAGTATTGATATTCTATTTATTCCTTTTATCTGTTTATCTTTGCTCATTTCTTGACTGTGTCCACTACTTTGAGCCATCATGTCTGGAGCTGGTAAATAAAAGCTTCTGGCTGTTTACATTTGTTTCCAAACCTAAGCCCAGATAATCTTTTAATAAAAAAACAAACTTATCAGAATTAATTATGAGGCCTTCTCTGGTTTATTCGTGCAACATATCTGAGATGATGGAATCTATATTGGATCTGATCCAGGTTTCTTACAGCTAAATCCTCCGAGAGGTTAATAAGAAGGTGACTGGACTCCGTTGTTGTTTCTTCAACACGTTTCATCTCTTATCCAAAAGGATACGTTCTGATAACTCCCAACACCATCTCAAAAGCTGCTAACCAGTGCACCCACAAACGCAACTTGTGACAAAAACTTATTTCAGTGACCAAAGAAAAAATGAGCAAAGAGGTTTTTGTGAACAATGTTTATTTCATGCAGCACACGTTAATTTCATGTCAATAAGAGACACGGGAGTCACTTTGAAGTTGATCTGAAGGTGTAATGTCCAGCAGCATCACCAGCCTGGCAGCCCTTCATATCTGCACAATCAAGTTACATGATATTAAACACAAAGATCAGATCCAAATGTTATCTTTAGGATCACCTTAAATGCACCTTACTTGATGTAGCTGGGCCCTGGAACACTGTCTGTGCTCTGTTTCACACGTAGGTCAGAAAATACAGTGTCTGGATTGTCTCTTTTTCCATACCTGTACATAAAATAACAGCCAAGCATCACACCAGGATCATTTACCGCATCACACAAGTTCCCAGACTAACCTTTGCCTTGTGATAAGATTGATGTAATGCCTGAGAGCAGAATAGTACTTGGCAAGCTCCTCGGGTGGTGCTCCTTCCCGGGGACTGGTGGGCTTGAGCGGATATGCATTTAAGCCAGAGAAGGCACAAAGAAGCAGGCAGAGAGCCAGAGCACTTGCAGACATCACAGCGTCGGAGAATCAAAAGGAAGTTAAATCTGAATGAAAAAACTATTCCCCCAAAGAGCAGAAACAGAAGATTTATATTGGAATGAACTCTTTTAACTACCACTCACTGCTAGTTAAAACTTTCAATTAAAACATAAGAAATAAAAGTAATCCTTAGACCGGTGAAAACTGTGCCTGGTTTTATGGCTGCTCAGAGCTCCTTTGTGTGATTCTCAACATCGCATGTCTTTTATAGTGTTTGCTGTTTTGGGAGAGAGGAGAGGGAGGTGTGTGTATGTGTGTGTGTGTGGGGGGGTCATTTTTTTCTCAAAGCTACCCCTGAGAAACACTCGTTGCCTCATTAGCTTAATTAAACCTGTAATGGCAAAGCAGCAAAACAATTGGAGAGACACAGTTACATTATCCGACCACAAAGGACGTCAGCATCAGATTCATTAAAATGTTGTTCGACCTGGTGGAGTGTGTGACTTCCTTTTGTTGAATCAACTCAGATGAAATGCATTAGAAATGAATGTTTAGGAAAAGTGATCATCCCTGCATTACAATACAACAGGCAAGGTTTCCACAGCAGGATGACTCTGATGTCAGGAGCAGAGAGTTTAATTATGACAGAGGAACAGCCTTGCTTTGTTGACTCATGCCTTTTTGTTTTGCTTCATCTTTAACTTTGCACACGCAAAGGATGATTAGTCTAAATGCTGCGTGAAGTTCTCAGAGCACAACCTTCATGACCATCTTAACATAACCAATGATGCATCATTTCACATGGCCGGTGATGGTGTGCTGTTTTCATATTAACTTCTGCATGGTGTTTGGGGAGATGATGGGTTGTGCAGCTTTCAGAAGGTGAAATAAAATGAGATGAATGACCTCTTAACTCACAACGATCAAAACATCTTATTTTACAACACTTAAAATTACACCTGAGTGACTCAGTCAGTCTTACTAACCAGTTGTCTTTTATCTACAATGGGAACTCTACTTTTAACACCATTACTGACACAAAGTTGTTTTAGGGTCAGCAATTCAGCGCTAAGCCAACAGTGAACATGTCCAAATCACACCATAAGCACAGCTACTCAGAAAAAAATGTAAACTTCTAATTCCAGTTGACTGAGGGCACAAAACGCTCTCAGCCCCCCTTAAACGGTCAGACAACCTTAATGGCAACTATTTTCTTTTGATGAGCACTCAACTAAAATTTGACAGGTGATTGGAGCTGTTGTTATCTCTGACAGTCATATGAGAGCTCCAGCACACTTCCTACAAAACAGGACTGGAACATTTCTTGCCTACTGGTAAACGGTAAATCCCAAAAGTGGTTGAGAAGAAAATGGGTTTAATATTTAACGTGTTTAAGCAAAACAGAGCTTCACGATCAAGCTGCCAGGATAAATCTGCCAGTATCTATGTAAAAGTTTAAATCTACACCCAATTGTTAAAATATTATACATAAAAACAATCGATTTTTTTAATATATGCAGTAAATGTCTAGTGTGTGCTATTAAGGACAGTGCTGTGTAAAGGCACAAACAAAAAGAAAAGGAAAAAAAGCACAAAAGTCAAATGTTTTGGATGGTGTGTGTCCATGTTCCATTTGGAGTCAAACTAACATTAAAACTACACCAACCGTCTGACATGGTGGTGGTAGTGTGATGGTCTGGGGTCACGCTGCTGCTTCAGGATCTGGACCTCTTGCTGTAACTGATGGAACCAGAACATCCTGAAGGAGAATGCCTGACCTTGACCTTAAACAGGCCGCTCCTGCTTCACCTCAGTGGACATTTTGTCCCGTCTTCTAGGCTGTTAGAACCAGTTATCATGTTTAGAGCCAAGTTGCCTTCACCACATAGAGCCCGGGTGGATGGATCTGCTCCCTTGACAAACTAAATCATCATCTGAAAGCTGTCTTTTATTTTACTCAGGTTTGTTTACTCATCTAAAACATCTATGTGGAAAAAATAAAAGTACTTTTTTACAGAACAGTTCTGACAGTTTGGAATAATCATACAACCAAGTTTAGCCATTTTACAACTATTATTACAGAGCATTTCACTTGGATGCATATGCACAGTTCAGTCATTACCGGTTTGCTTTGCTTATTTTCAGTACCTTGTTTTAGGATGTTTGAGCTGTTACATATTTAATGTGCTAATAAAAGATTTATGTTAATCTCAGCAGCTAATCTAACTTTGTTGCACTTGGCAATTATGAGGGTTGTTATGACAACAGACGTTTTTACTCAGCCTAAATCTTGCAAGAAGACGTGTCGATTATACAGGTCTGTTTCCCATCATTAGTTAATCAGGTTGCAGGTGCGTCAGACAAAAGAGCAGGTGTCAACATCACACCATGTGTCTCGGTACTGCAGGTGTGCTCTGCCTGTAAATATGTTCACCCAGAGAAATAAAAAATCTTTAGCCAGCTGCCACTCTCCTGCACGTTACAGGTGGACATCAGGAGGACATTTGTTTTTATTATTATGGAATTCATCAAAAGGATGACAGGAGGTCCTTCTAATTGAGGAGTGAAACTGAGCGCCTTAGCTGGAGATGGATGATTCATTCTTTGTTAGTTGCACATTTAGGGAGCAATAACAGCTGCTAATTAACTTGCTCTTTTCTTTGTGTAATACCAGACCACCGCGGTCGTACTATGCACCATAGTATTATTGGATTGTTATTGCAAGTACAGGATGAAACGCTTTCACTTGCATGTTTGGTTTTTGCACAAATGCAGAAAAATGGCAGCTAAGAAATTATCTGTTGAGCTTTTTTAATCATGGAGACTGGTACTCTGCTGTTTGGACACGAATCTCCTTTTCCTTCATAATCCACTCCATCAGAGTGGACTCCCATAACAGCCAATAACAGTAGGTAAGATACTTGTGTAAATGAGACCGAGGCAAAAACTGAACGGGACATTTCAGTAGAATAGTGTTCATGTTTAATTTGACAAGAGGAAACGGCAGTTTTAGCTGTTTTCTAGTCCAAATGCTTGATGTGTGCAATGAGTTTCCACAACAGGATGACACTGAAACAAATGAGCTGTGAGACCTGTAGGGTCAGAAATGAAGCGTCATCTTCTCAGCTTTCACATTATTTCAGAACCAGATACACTTTTTCTAAAAGTTCAAATGCAATTATCGATTTTACGATCAAGCTAACATTTAGTTAGCTTACTCCCTAGTTTGTTTGTACAGCTTTAATTGAAAATCTACCTGTAAACAAACATTTCCACATATCTGAGTCAGAGTGATCTTAATGCAGATGCTAGTTTGGAACACCTAGAGTTGAGTCAATCCGTCCATTTTGGGATGCTGTAAGCTGGCAAAAAGAAATGAAACACCAGTTCCTAACAGGCTCTGAACAAATACGTCCTGCTTCATTGAATTTAAGCTAATGTCATGAATCTTTTTACACATTCGGTTTTCCTCTCAATAAAAACTGGAGACTATTTTTTGCATCATCATGGATGCCAAAGACGCGAGAGGGGCACGTTGAAATATAACATGATTTTCAGGCGATGGTGGGAAGTTCCCTGTAATTGGAGGGTTGCAGGTTCAACCACTGCCCAGTCTTTAGCTGTCGTGTTCTTGGGCAAGGCACTTAACCCTCCTTGCCTACTGGTGGTGGTCAGTGTGCCCCAGAGTACCTGTGGCTAAGTAGCTAGTAGTGTGTGTGTGAGAATAGGTGAATGATGGCTGTATTGTACAGCGCCTTGGGGAGTTGTAGAACTCTAGAAGGCGCTAAACAGGAACAGACCATTTACCCAGGGCTGCCAACTTTTACCAAAGCTCAGGTGTGTCTGTGTGTCTGCCTTGTGTTGCATCCCTCCTTTGTTCATGGGGGAGGGGGGCTCAGTGGTGAGACTTGGCAGCCCTGGTGAAGTGCTTAGGTGTTTGCTTGTCTGTTACCGTCTCTCAGTTCTCGGTGAAGTCATCAGCAATTCTTTGGACAACATCTCTCGTCCTGTAAAAGTAATCACCCTGTTTGGAAGTGGATGTATTGGTGACCCCCTCACCCTTTTTTCTCCAAGAAACATTTTATTTGCAAACCTGTAACTGCACCAGCGACGATAAAGCGCTTTTATGAAGTTAACCTGCACTTTTAGACTAAATCTCCCAGGAAGCATGCTAGATGTATTAAAGAGGAGCACTTTACATGGGTGTTCTTTATGGGTGTTTACTGCTAGCAACAAAAGTATTAGATGACCTCATATCTAGGCGCAGCTTAAAAGTGGGGTCACTTTGTGAGTTCAACATCCAGTATGAAGTCCTCTGGGAGCGTCTCTGCTGGGATTTTTCTCAGCTGCTCATCAAAAGCACGGAGAGTCCAGAGTTTCTCCAGTTCATACCGTTGTCTAGTTCCTGGCAGCATCAGATGAACAACCATATTACCTGAGAAAATGTACAAAAGATGCAAGTATAAAGGATGACATTAGTTTACATAAACAGGTTTAATGGTGAAGATGGGATTTTATAGACCAACGTACCAAAGTCGATACATATCCAGTCATCTGTATCTTTTCCTTCAATCTTCGCATTTGGATCTTTATCTTTCTTCAAAAACTTGTACTAAAGGAAGAGCATCCTTACAGTTAAAACAAAAACACACGACTTTAACAGAGGGTGAGGGGACATTAGTTACCACTCTGACAGCGTAAAAAGCCATCGCACGGATGTGTCTTGGTGATAAACCGCTGACAACAAGAAAGTACTCTGTATAGCTGACGTGGTTCGGGACTTGAATCACGCAGAGGTCGATGGCATTTTCCTGACGCAGTAGAGACACCAGGAGGTCCAGGGTGAAAGCTTCAGCAGGTCCTGGGAAAAAATAAACTAATGTTACTTTCGCCTTTAGGAGTTATTCATGTGTTTTTATTAAAAATCCTATTATTTGATGTTTATAGTATAAACTATGATAACAGGAGCCCTCTGATCACAAGTGAAATCAGTTTGTGGTCCTTTAATAACAACATGTTAATGTTTACTAGTTTCAGCTTTAAGAGGAAAACTTTTGTCTTTATGTTTATTTTGTATTTACATATTGATTGTATACAGTGCTGCAACAATTAGTCGTCCCGATGATGTCGACAAACTAAATGATGAATGATAAATGATCACCAGAGAAAGAAGACATCACGGCGAGTAGGCAACGTAGCTTAAAAGTTGGGGAGCATTTTACAAAGACGAGAGAGGACGTAGAGTGCAAAACCTGCAAAGTGAAGCTCTCCTTTCACGAGGACACATCGGTGATGCACGAGCACCATTAAAAGGAAGTGCGTCATGGCGGAGTACAAAGACTCGCCTCTGTAAACTAATTACCTCTTGTTAGCTGCTAACATCAACAGACTTGTATTCGTGAGCATAGCAACAACAGTAGTCCTGGTAATTTTAATACCTTTACAACACTTAATTCAAGTATGATCATACCACTGATCATACCGTACCTGAACTACTGCATTGAAATCTGGGGAACAACATATAAAACTTACACACATTCCATTTACATCTTACAGAAAAAAGCAATAAGAATAATCACAAGGAGCAACTACAGAGATCCATCCAATCCATTATTTATTAAATTAAAAACACTAAAATTCTATGATCTGGTGGACTACAATATTTTAAAATTAATCTATAATGCAAACAAAAGGAAAGCACCTGCAGGATTAATCAAAAGATTTACAAAAAGACATAGCAAATATGATTTAAAAGGACATGAACTATTTAACATACCTAGACATCGGATACTCGTAAAGGAACATTGTGTGTCCATAATATATGGAGTTAAATTGTGGAATAAATTAAACACTGAAATCAAGAATGCAAAAACAATATTGACTTTCAAAAAAAGAGATAAAAAATGAAATGATTAACTTATATAGATCCGTTACATAAATGTGTGAGGGAACGGGGTTGAGGGGATGAAAAAAAAGAGGAAACAAGTCTGTGTATTCATTTGTGTGTATATGTATGTATAGAGGTCTATAACTTTATGTTTCTCTCTGTGTAACTCGTTTTCTCTCTTTTTTCCGATTCATGGGTTTAGATTGTGTGGTCCAACCAGTCCAGGAACTATATTGTTCAATTTTTTTTGTATTAATGTTATTTTAGTTAACAGATAACATACGTTTTTCTTCTTTCTGTCCCCTTTTTCATTTTGGCTTGTAGTCATTTTTTTCTGTATTTTTATTTTAATGTCAATAAATGAAAAAAAAATAAAGAAAAAAAAGTATTTGCTCTAATGTTACCAACGCTAATGATTTATTTTATCGTCAGTGTCAAAAAATAAAGAGTTCCTCCTCTTCAAAGGACAAGTTTGTTACAAAACCAAACACGAGAGTTTGAGCTGGAATTAGTGAGCACAAGACTTTTATTTTTTGTTTCATTTAGTCACATTAGAATGTGTAGCATTTGTATTAATAGGTTAAAAAGCTCATTTAAAGTGTTTTAATAAGCTATCATCTTGTCTTTATTGTTAGATAAAGGCTGATCACACTTCTAACTAGAAGCTAATGATGGTATATTAGAGCATCCGGAAGCAATAAGCTAAACTTTTATTAATGATACAATTAGTCAACTAATCATCAACAAAACTGGGATTAGTTGACCATTTCAATAGTCGATGGTGGCAGCCCTAATAGCATAACTATACTTAAAATAGAAGGCAGTAAAGTCCTCTACACCTAAACTTTTTAAATGAAAATAATATTTAAAGACTGAAGTTTAAAAAGATAAATTATGTTGCTATTATTTACCGATAATAAGTCTAATTGCTCAGCAGTTGCATTCCAACACGCAAAAAGGAAGATAATATTTTTAACATGACTTTTTCGTAAAGTATTTCCAGAGGGAAGTCCGTGGTAAGACTGTCTTTCTGGATGGTTTTAACTTTGCGGTATTTTTATATAACTTACGGTTACTATTATCGCTGATTCCAGCCGCTTCCTCCTTAAACATCCCTTGATTATCCGAGTGTCTGTTTCCATCGCAGAAGCATCTCTCTGGGCTGACCTGATAACTGAGGGAAGACGAGTGTTGTTGACATGAAGCCAACCTGACCGCGCGGCTAAAGCCACGCGCCGCTGATAAAACACCGACACGTCTAAAAGCACCTGTTTGTTCTAATAAACCACGTCTACAAACTGATGACAACAATACTCTGGAACGATCGAGAATATTCATGATTTAGTGGGCCGGGCGGGAAAAACAACTCCCTGGACTAGCTAAAGCCACGAGTCGGTAGGGTTTTGGTATCAAGAGCTACAAACAGGAAGTTGGTCGTGTCCTTCCCCTCCCTTTCCGGTCGGCTCATGGGTCCCCCCGGAAGGACAAAGAGTTTTTTTTAACAATCTTTATTGACACATTTGCAGCAGACAAGACATAACATATTGACAAAACAACATCGATGTACAGGGTGTGATAAATTGACAAACAGAGAAGAAAGAGAAAAACTGTTAATAAAAATAAACATAAATAATTATACAAATAAAATTCCACTAATACATTACCTTATAATATGGGGCATAATAGAATTCATCAAGTTGCATATTTTCACAGCTTTTTTGTTTTTACTAATTCTACGTACAGAGTCATAAAAAAATTAAGATCAATATAAAATAAAGTTACATTTGGTATAGCCTGTAGAAATCTGACTTTATGAATGTGAAATTTACCCAACAGACACAGCAATGTTATTATATCGTTAACTTCCTTGTTACATTTAACGTTTAAGAATAAGACCATACTTTCATTAAAAGTAATCAATATTTTATGAGAATCCCAACCTAATTAAGTCAATTGATTCCAAAACTGCACAACTAAAGGACAACCATAAAACAAATGAGTAAGAGACTCAACACCTGTTTCGCAAAAGGAACATAAAGGGGACACATCAGGTCTAAATCTATTAATAGATTCATTACACGGATAATATCTATGTAAGATTTTCAAGTGTATTTCTTTAACTTTATTGGGGACAAAAAATTTCTGAACCTCAGAAAAGGCATTGCTGCTGATGTCAGGAAAGGACAGAGTTATTGGCCGTGTTCGAGTTGAGCTGCGCCGCGCCTGGAAAACAGACAAGAGCAGACGGACGCAGCAGGGGGAGTGGCTGAAAGCCGACATTTAAGTCAGACGAATTTCCCTACATGTGTAGCTCGGGGGTGACGATGGCTGAAGATATCCCGTTAGAGTTCATACTTGTTTAATTATTTATTTTAATTCTGGTGCCTGTTAGCAGCTGAAACACATCCTCACGTGCTTGTGGATATCATATACTGTATTGTATATGAAGACCTGACTGTAATAATAAGTAAAGGTTATCAGCTGTAGCTTCAGTGTGCTCATAGGAAACGTGACAAAAGAAAACAAAACACATTCCTCTTTATGGCTTAGTTGTCATCATCAACATAACATGATTTACAGAAAACATGTGACCAACTAACATTTCATGTTCTACCACTGGATGTTTGGATCAAAATATGAACCAATCAGATCTTAGATCAGTTGAGAGCCAGGCATTTCCCGTCATCCTCTAGGTTTTGCAGGCGGTGGAGAGCAACTGCAGCGCCTTGCTCCAAAATCTGCGGCCGCCTTGATCTCACAAGTTTATCGTTGCCTACGTATGCATGACGTCAGAGCAAGTCGGCGTCAAGTCGGACACAAATCTAACCGGCATGCACTGCTCGCCAATCACCGGTGATCAAATCTGCGCAGAACTGGCTCATCTCGAACACGGCCATTTTCTAATCCGCTTTGCCTTACGCCCTGGATCGGACATATACTGTGCGTCAATTTAAATTTAAAGTAACGATGTGTGATCCGACCATGCCTGTCGCATACTTTGAGAATTATCAGTTTGTAAAAGTTTATAATCAGCATAACGTCAGACATTGGTACGTCGCATATATGACGTCACCACACAATCTCCTCTCTCGGAGCAGATTTCTGGTGGAAGGATTTGAAGTTTGCGGAATTTTCAGCCATCGTCCCTCTTTTTTCCTCCGTGTCTTGTTCAATGACGTCACTTTGGTGATGCGCATTTTGTTAACCTTATTTACAATTGAAGAAATACAAACTCTCGTTGGGAGAACATAAATCAAAACATAACAGGCCACAACCAATAAAAACAAAATAAAGCATAAACAAAACAAACATACATTCCATTAAAAAAATTAAATAATTGTCCATGTCCCTGCTTCTTTGTTTGTGTCTCCCAAAGCTTTCAGCGATGTCAGTAGGGACTTCAGATTGCACAGCACTAAATTAAAGGATGGCTTTTTCTTTCTCCATAGAATGAATGTGACATTTAAGCACAAGGATCACAACCTTACAATGGAAACCTCCCTCTGCAAACTCTTTTCCATACAAAACCTGCTCTTTGGTCACTGATTCAACTTAACTTAACCCACTATCCCGCCAGAAGCTGGTCACTATTGGACAAGTGTAGAAAAGATGTTCAGTGCTCTCCCCATCTTGTAAACCAAATCCACATGGCTCCCCCTCAAATCCAAATCTTTTTTGAAGTGTTGCTGCTGCTGGGTAATATAATGTTGTTAATCTGCATTTCTTTAATTTAGGGAGGAATAGGCCACGTCAAAACTTTATTACTTCTTGGCCGGAGGGACTGGTGGCGCCAGTGCTCGGCAGCCTCGCCTCTGTCAGTGCACCCCAGGGCAGCTGTGGCTACATCGTAGCTCATCCCCACCAGTGTGTGAATGTGTGTGTGAATGGGTGAATGACTGATTGTGTTGTAAAGCGCCTTGGGGGGTTCCAGGACTCTAGAAGGCGCTATATCAAATACAGGCCATTTACCATTTTTACCATTTCTTATCCTAATGTTCCAACCTCTTATGTTTGTATTATTGTTGAAGTCATTAAATAAATTAGTTTTAAATTTCCTACTTAAAACTTTATCATTACATTTATTTTCTATAAAAGGAATCTGGTTTATATATAAATTAGGTAGATTAATTCACCCTTTTGAATAACATAAATAATGTATACATTTTAATAGTGGAGAAGGGATTTCTCTACACGCCTTGTTAAATTCTCTAAATGAGCTTTGAATAACAAATTTATCATTGAAGTCATTTATATTTAGAAACTGACCCTGCTCATCCAGTAAATATGTGATGAAATGATGTTTTTTTCATACCACTTCTCAATGAATGACTTCCTATTAATTGTAACTGTTCTATTGTTCCACAAGGTGGAGCCATGGGGTGTAAAGTAATGAGTGAACAACATCTTCCAATAATTTAATGCTTGTTTGTGATATTCTGGCAATTCCAGAACATCAAAGTCACATTTAAGGAGAAAGTCCAAACCTCCCAATTTAAAAAAATAATTTTTAGGAACATGAAACCACAGTGAATCAGGGCTTAGCAGAAAAGTGTTTAGCCAATTTATCTTGAACACACCACAAATCGACCGACTTAATATCACCCATATCGTAATCGGTCACCAATTGGGACTTCTTAATATATTTTTAATATGTGCTCTGTTGTGCTAAATGAACTGATATATAATAGAGTTAACCTTTTCATATTTTGTGGACTGATATATAAAGAATAAGTTGGGTAAACAATTCTCGAGATACTTCTGATTTTGATAATCAGTGACGACCAAAAATAGTGATATCTCGTGTAATCCGATGATTAAAAGATTTTGTCATATCGTCTATTTTTTCTTTCAAACTTGTCGACTCTCTAATTTTGATATCCTGAAAATGAAATGAGCTAAATTCCTGTAAAAACAGAAATTAAATATTTGGACATTTTTAAACAGGATTTTTTTTTTAAGATTCAGACACAAGCCTGCCTTAGAAAATATCAAAATTACATTTAAAGCTTTTTCAAGTTTTGATTTATCCTTTCAAAAAATGATGGTATCGTCCGCAAACCGACTAATCCTAAAATGTTCGCTCCCTCGACATTGACTTAGTTCACAGTGAGGTATGCCTTTTGGGAGAAATCGGAGAACCCTGTCAGACTCCACAGGAGACATCTATTCTGTGTTATGCCTTGGTTGAGAGAAACATAACTGTATGTTTGATTATAAAACGTTTTGATTACTTTACAAAATTTGTCAACAAATCCAAAGTTCTCAAGAGATCAAAGTAGAACTTTGTGTTCTATTGAGTTAAACGCTTAGAAAAAAATCAACAAATAAAATAAAACTTTCTGATTCTATGACCGGTAATCTATCATCTCTTTTACTAATCTTGTGTTATTGTGTGTACATCTTCCTTTAATGAAAGCCGACTGACACTCATCAGTTATTTTTGCTAAAACATTTTTTATCCTATTGGCATGTTGGAGTTATTAACTTATAGTCATTACATAGAAGTGTTGTAGGTTGTCTAACAAATCTAAATCTTTGTTTGGTTTTGGCAACAGAGTTATCAAACCGGTTTTCATTGTTGGAGACTATTTATACAATCCAGAAAGGCCTGAAATAATACATTTTTATCATCATGCCAAAATTCTTTTGTTAGTCGATCCATTCCAGGTGACTTCCCCTTTTTCAATTGTTTTAGTGAGATTTCTATTTCTTCTATGGTCAAATCTTCTTCTAGCAGCAATTTATCATCTCCGTTAAACTTCTCTATGTGACCTTTTACTTTGTCAAAAGTCCTCCTTATGAGTTTTTGCTGATTTCTTTCATTATGTGACCTGAGTCCTTAATGATAGTGTCATTTTTATTACATTTAGTTGTTTTTCTCTTAGCTTGTGCTTGTTTCTCAAGGCTGTAAAAATATGATGAATTATTCTCTCCTTGCTTAAGCCATTCATCTTTAGATCTCACAAAGCTCCTTTAGATAGCTAGATAAACTTTATTGTCCACCTCGAATTGAGGCAGAAATTCGCCTTTGACATGGCTCACCCTACAATACAATCCATATCGCATTCACACAAATATATAAAAGACAATTAAAAGGTATTAAAATGTTATCATCGTAAAGAAAAATTAAACTTTAAGAATTCAAAATTGTAACTGCGGTGGGAACAAATGATTTCTTATAGACACCTTTCTCGGCCAATGGAACTCTGTACCTCCTTCCTGATGGAAGTAGCTGAAAATGTGGGTTCAATGGATGGGTTGAGTCTGCACTGATCGGGGTAGCCTTCCTGTGTGCCGCTCACTCGTGAAGAACAGAAAGTGGGATCTGGGGTGAGCCTGTAATTTTGCTGCCTAATGTAACAATGCGAGAGAGTTGTGTTTTGTTTTTAACTGTAAGAAAGTTATACCAAGCTGTAATGTTTAAAGTTAGAATGGATTCAGTGATT